GGGGACCCCCAGCTGCTGGCAACCAGAGTGAGCTAGTGGCCCACACCTGCCAGCGGTCAGCTGACCAGAAGGGGCAGGCCCTGGCTCACATATAAACCCCAGGCCTGAGGGCTGCCAGCAGCCAAGGGGGAGGGAGCTCTCCCAGATTAAGCAAAGGGGAGAGGCCTGGCTGCAGGTACAGCCTCTGATACTGATGAGGGATGGAGCACCCCTGGGGTGGCTTGAATGATGTTATAGCTGGGTGGCTTGAATTTATGTTATAGCCCAGGGACTTGTGTTTTGTTTGCTGGATAACACCAGTGGTTTGGATGAGGCTAGTAGGGGATGGAAGAGGCCTCATAGGGGACCCACAGCAGCATGGGGACCCCGGCACCAGAGAGGGCGCAGCATTTGGGGGTGCACCGACCCTGGCACCAGAGGAGGCGCAGCATTTGGGTGTGCACCAACCCCGGCGCCAGAGAAGTCACAGCACTTTGCAGGGCTGTGGAAAGCCCAGGCACCAGAGAGGGCACAGCACTTTGCAGGTCTGTGGAAAGCCCAGGCACCAGTGAGGTGCAGAGCGAGACAGGGCTGCGGAGAGCCCAAGCGCCAGTGAAGGTGCAGTGTGAGACAGAGCTGCGGAGAGCCCAAGGAGGACCAGGGGGCCAAATTATAACAAGGCCCAGACCAAACAACGTCAGTTCCATCTGCGAGGCTTGGGGCATGGTAAAAGGGTGGTTGGAGCTATGCATAGCCCATAAGGCGAGGATGCCCTGATTGTGACATCCATCCTGGAGCGGGACCCACCAGGGGTCCAGGGACCCACAGGGTCCTGAGAATCAATCTCGACCGTGTCCAAGAGGACTTAGAGGCAGCCTCCCTATTAATTACTCAATCAAAGACATGGCAGGTGAGAATTGAGGGTGCAGTAAGGGAGCCTTGGGAAGAGCATGGCCATCCTACAGGACCTCGTCTCGTGACACATCCCCTTTTTGAAAACATAAGGGAATAACCAACACCTCCATTACTGATCTTCACTACGTTGATGGCCAGGGATCCAGGTTTTCTGTT